GAGAGCGTTGTTTGTGTGTATGTGTGTGTGTGTGTGTGTGTGTGTGTGTGTGTGTGTGTAGGAGCACCAGTGTTTAACAAAGACATGGTGGCAGCTTGGTTCAAAACAAGCTGTACATCCCCTGGTGCACTCACTCTTCTTGCGTTGTTTCAGGTTTACACAGCACAACAGCAAATCCCTCAACTGTTACTGTACTGGGCTTCCACCTGGAATTGAATTTCTGCCTAACAAAGCAATTTCAAGTATTCATTCATGTCGTGGTTTCTATCAGTCCATGTTTTAATGAGTCTGGACCCCAGGGTGGGTGTAAATGTCCAAGCTGGAAAAGATTAACAGCACGTCTAACACTTGTTTTTCTCATGCGTGGCACTATGGGAGACATGAAAATGAGAGGGAAATACTTTCAGTTCAAGGGTTCCTTTGAGGATGTGACATTGAACCAGCAAAGAGAGAAACTGCAGCTCACTGTCCACTGACCCACAACAGAAGGCAAATGAGTCCTTGATCATGCGTTCTCACTGGATTCTCCCTGTTTTAAGTAAGATCAGGTTCTGTCGTCAAAGATAACTTGCTCAGTTTTCACTACCAAACAGACTAATAAAACTGTCGCCTGCGATTACAGAAACAAAGAGCTAGACTGACACATTAACATCAGCTGGAAGTTGGACAAACCTGGCAACCCTGACATTTACTCCACAAAATGTTAGCATCCTTTGCAGTTAAAGTGTGTGGTTCTAAACCGCTGGGTTCAGCTTTAACATTTAGTGTATGGCAGGACTTTTGTGTTACAGTGATTTTAACAAATCAGGTTTTAAGTCAGCTTATTTTACTTCAAGTGACAGTGAATACACTAAATTACTAAAATATTATATGTTGAACAGCAAACAGACAGTAGGAAAGATGATGTCATAACAGTACAGCAAAGTCACTTTCAGCTTTTCCCGTTTAAGGGTCGCCACAGAGAATCGTCACACTGACGACCCTCATGTTGACATTTCGCACGTGGTTTATGGTGGATGCCCTTTCCAATGCAACCCTGACTCGAACCTGGGCCGCAGCGGAGAGAGCGCTGCACCTTAACCTACCAGGGACATGTCATAGCAGTACAGCACCTTTGCATAACCATGTACTCACCATTGGAGTTTGTGGTTCCATCACCATCCAGCTGCCGTTTCTGTGCACTCCTAAACTCCTTCAGGGAGAGGTAAAGCACCTTCCGCATCACCCGCTCCTCCGACCACGGGATCCCATCACTGTCATCCTGTGAAGACATAAGAGAGAGACGGGGTCACTATAAATTGTTATCACAGCTACACAGGAACAGTGGGTATGGTTGCTTTCCACCATTTTTCTGATGAACTCTTCTAGATATTTGTTTTACTCAAATAAATACATAAATCAATCAGTAGATAAAATCAAAACTATGGCAGCAAGTAACTGTCATAATAAGCAACTGAATACCAAATTCAGTAACTGCATAATACTTCATGTAAAAATTTTAATTCCACTAAATTTATTGCACTGAACAGGACAACTTTATGTTAAGGTCTTCAAATTCAGATAGTCGGATCACAGCCATTCAAGCTCAATTGCTTTTCAGTGATGTCAGGTTTTTAGTTCTGGATTTTATACCTTGAGCATCTGATTAAAACAGAACAACCTGAGTATTTAATTTAAAAATATTAGGTATATGAATGAGAACCTCCAAATAAATACATATGGAAAAAACAGCTTGAAACTGACTAGCCCATTAAAAGTTTCACGATGATATCTGTGCATGCACACACACCTACAATATCTAAGTGCAACATTCAATTGCTGATATAATTTAAATTATTACAGCAATGACTGGCTTCCTCACAAACCCATTAATACACATAGCAGTTCTGCACGTTGTACAATTATTTGTGCTGAGCATCTTCCTTTGTTTCTTTCGCACACAGAAAGGTGTTACTTGCAGTTAAGGTCAAGAAATGTTTTACAGGCCAGGTGTGTTAAAATGTCCAAGACAAAACAAAATGTAACAATTTAATGTCAGCACAGTCTGTACAGTTTTACCTTTATAGTCAATTATAAATGCCACAGTGTTACTCCGTATTTCATTTGAGCCAGGAAACGGCCTAGAAAAATACTTAACATGATGATAAACCACCAACAACAGCTACAGCCAGCTAGTACTGAAGTAGCCTGAGGGACGTGGAATTTTATCAGTGATTTTTGTATTATGCATTTGTTTATCAAAATAACAATAAAATATGAGAAACACAAAGATGTTGCATTTAATGTAGACATGCAAGTTTATGAAGACTTTAGTACAGAATTTTACTATAATGGGGATTCTCCTTACATATTGTTCTGGTTGCACCCATTTCTCACTACATCGTGACATTAGCATGGCACAACATTAGCATAACATAGCATTAGCTTGCAGCTAGACACAGGGCAACACATTAGCATAACAATGCACGGAGGACTGCATCTCCGCACAATGCCATGATATGACAGTGTTACAGTAATGAATAGGTAGGAAGCAAATGAAAAAAAAAGACATCATGGCACTATGAGTTCATGTGCTGCTAATCTCTCCCTGTGAGATGAGACAGGCAATGTTATTGCTGCAGAAGTCAGACACACAACATCTTTTTCCAAGACATGGCCATTTTCCCTAGTCACTTTCAAACTGAGCACCAAACCTGACACAACAATGTGCAGCACATCAATGCTGCAGTACTACTCAAAACACTATCGCTCATGTTATGTTTTAACAGTTTAATGGAAAAATATTCCACTGCAACAAACACTGTTGAGTGTCCAACACTGATGGCCATACATCTCTCCCCCCCCTCGCTTCCCTACGTCCATTTCACTGGCAACTGCTCTTCATGTCGAACAACGCTAATGACTAAAGGAAATTATATTAGGACATGAGCAACAACAGGGGTATTAATAAATAATGAAAACCAGAAATAGTTTTTCCTCTAGTCCAGCCATGGGCCAAGTGAATTTCTGCTCTAAGGTTTGAGAAAAGAAAATACTCTGCATCTCTTGGCAAAATGCAAACATATGTTGATAATTTGAATGAAAACCACATTGCTGATCCTGTCAACTCATCCCAGTGAGTGCATTTCCTTCTGTCTGAGTCAGATGTAATGTAAGAGGCAGACATGAAAAGCAACCTGTGTGGGAGCGTGTTCTGATCACCCAGTTGACTCAGATCACTCTGAGCTGGCTTGACTAAGAGGCTGGCAGACATCACAGTGACATCAGGGCTGGCTGGGTGCATTAAAAACCTCCAAGTCATACAAAATAATTACACCAAGACATTTTATCACTGCTGTAATAAGAAGATAACAGTCACAGCTTTCCATTAAGAACAGATGTACTCTCACACTTAAAAAAAAAAGAAAATCAGATGACTGTGGGTGACGTAACATGGAAACTGAGTGTGTGTCAGCCTGTATTTCTGTCCGAGCGTGTGAAAGATAGAAAGTTAATCTCATCCTGATATTATGTATCCTCCTAGAACTAGTGAATAAAACACTAGTGAAACAACTGCTGCTCATAAATGTCCCTTCTCTTCTGATGCTGCCAGCCCACTAAAGATACTCTGTTAACAGATGATGATACATACAAGACAGAGATCTTATGATGGATAAAATATGCCTTCTGAACAGTGCAGACACCGTACTGTTAATTATAGCAGCATCAAAATAAGTGGGGTGAACCATTACAGTGCATACATTATATTAAAAACAATAAAAATGGATTTTTATAAACTGTAGTTTACCATGTTTGGGATTAAATTCAGATCTGCATCGTAGAATGGCTCTCTGTCTTGTCACTCACAACTACTCTGTTGAATTACATATCATAAAGCCAAACATGGACTTAGCACAGTACTTCTTAGTGGATTACTTAAAAGCTACTGGTGGGCCATGAAAGACGAGGTTTGCAAGTCAAGAGCTACTTATTGTTGAATATGACACTGTATCTCGAAATAACTGCAAACCTCCTGTAATTAAAACAAAACTGATGACCTCATTCACTCACTCTTAATCATTTTGACAATATTGACAAGCCTGAGGATTTTGCATGTTTATCACGCCTCTGTGGTTTTTGTCTCTTCCGCAGATAAAAATAAGCTTTTGCACCATATTGTTTGGATTTCCCAGGTCTGCTCAGGGACCTTGGGGATGAGGCCTCGACAGAGCTAAAGGGAAGGAGGAGGGGACAAGATTAGAAGCTGGGTGTCTGCACATGATGGAGCTGATGGGTGACAGCCGTGTCTCCCTGCATACAGTAGGCATGATGGCACATGCGCATACACACACGGGCAGAATGCTCAGTCCACTGATGCTTTGCAGCCTCTGACAGAGGTTGATAGGGTGTGTTTTGTGTGTAGCGTACAGTCCCTCATTACACTGTCACATGAGAGTGTACGAGCAGACACACACACACACACACACACACGCTAGCAAGAAAGATAGTGCAAGTATTCAATTGTGCTATTTTCTCCTGTAGTTAATGTCATCTAATCCATTCTCTCTGTGTGTGCGTGTGTGTGTGTGTGTGCGCGCGCGCGCGCGTGCAAAAGCTGAGGAGGTATACACCAATTACCAAGACAGTTCACTGGCACACTTTCTCTCCTGGTGTGGCACAAGGCCAAATGTACATTTACACACATGCACGTACAAAATTGACAGTATATTCCAGAGTTACAAACACTCACATATACAGCTTCTATGGTATCCATCTCTCTACCTTGCACACACAACTGTTCTGAGGGGCAAAAAAAAAAAAAAAATCCCTCCAAAGTTTGCCTAGATTTCCTATTCTCTCGCTCTCTCCTTGTTTTCCTTCACAGCGGCTGGCAGTGTGCCACAGATATTTCCTGCACTGTGTACACATAGCAACAAGGTCTGAAAAAAAGGCAGAAAATGCTGACTTTTCATCAGCTGGGAGAAAAACAGTGAGCCTTAAAGTTCCGCTGCTACAGCTGCCGCACATTTAAACCTCACCAATAGTTCTTCACATTTCAGACGATCATTTAAATGGGTTTTCACAAGCTTCGCTCAATTGCAGGTTAACCATTTGTCTGGCCTGAGCAGTGGTTTGCCATCTGTTTTTGGCCAACATATTCCCTTGCCTTTGGCTGTGTGTCTTCCAGGTGGAAAACAGACAGATGATGAACAGCAGTAGTATGCAAAAATCCCTCTGCAGCCTTTCACACACTGCCTGCTAGAGGGTAAGCGTAGCATGACAGTGGAAGGGAGCATCTATTCAAATAAGCAATAAAAACTAATTGTGTTGAATCTCAGTTTCTCATTGCAGTGCATGTGTGCATATATGTGTGGTTGGGAGATATTGCCAGAACTCTTTAGGGAGAGCTTTTAGAGCGCCAACAGAACACTACCTGGCACTGACACACACCTCTACACCTCGACCAGCTCCCATCAGGCTGGTGGAATCCAAATGATGAGCGCGGAGATCTACGTAGGTGTGCACATGCATGCGTGTAACCAAGTGATGCATGAGAAATGCTGTGTGCCTGCGATCACTCAGCAGCACCACAGAATACACAGGTAATCCAACATGAAAACCACATACTGTAGATACACAGGCACCTTTCAGGCATCAATAGGGTTACTGTGCTTAAAATATAGGCCATACAAGACCATTCCCTCTCTTCCTCTCAGGCTCTATCACCCACAAACACACTGCAATCAGACAGTGCTAGAAAGTTTACCTGTGTTTACACCTTTCCCCCTGGGCTTCACTTTACCCAAATAAGTGCTACCCAGAAATGAAATCTATATCACTGAACCTGAGAAACAGTTTCTAATTCTTATGTTATAATTGTTTTCTTGACACATAACAAGGCAAGAGCTTCTCTTCATTTTACCAGCAATTTTGTTGTAATATTCTAATTTAATTATGCACATTTGTATTCATTAGTAAGAAAAGATTATGTGAATAAATGGCCCAAAGAATATCACAGATCGACAGCTAGTATTGCCAACAACAGAACAATCACAACCAACACAAGTGAATAAACAGAACTTTGAAAACTGTTCCAGGAACTGAGCAAAAGACTGATAAGAAGTCTGTCACTGTATCTGTTCATCGAAATGGATGAGAGCTTGTTCCACTTCATAACCCCAACTTTATTCAAACATTCCTCTCTCCAAAGCAGGAAAAAATCCAATAACCCTGATTCCTGATGAGCAAACAAGTGGATTGCATTGACTAACTCTGTAACTG